GTTTAATAAATTATAATAGGAGTCAATGGGGCCTTGTAATGGTCCAATACTGCCCCCAGCTGTACTCAACTTGGTACTGCACCATAGATTTTTTTATGTTTAATCTCAATAGTTCAGTGTTTACAATACTAATATGATTGTATTTTGATGTTTTACTATAATATTGTCCAAATATTGCTTTGTTGTTGTAATATTTTTCAAATTAGTGACAACCATTACATTGGCAATGTAGCCACTTTCTGCACACATACAAACCAAACCCTGGCCTCACCCTGTACCACAGCTCTAATGGTCTCATGGTTAGCGCCATGGGCTTTCATGTACGAGATCAGGGTTCGAAACCCAGCAACAGCAACTTTAACTTCATATTGTCACACAATTACCCTTTTTACAAGCACAAGCTGGTATAGAAAATACATTTGAAATTGGTCACATTTAATTCTGCAAGTCCACTGCTGCAGGCAAAGACATGCTACAAGGCAATGCACACTTGTTTTTAATCGTAAAAACCCATGTCTAGTTTCAGTTGTTTTTCACACTGATAAGGATCATTTTATGAGCTTGGACTTTGCATGAGGAGGACACACTACATGAGGAGGACACACTGCATGAGGAGGACACACTGCATGAGGAGGACACACTGCATGAGGAGGACACACAGCATGAGGAGGACACACAGCACGCTCTGACCCACCTGCTGGGTTCTCCACAGACTCGTGGTACAGCTCCTTGTATTTCTCAAAGCTGGGGACGTGAGCCTCCTTCTTCAAGTCCTCCGACCCGAGGAAGACGTCCTCCTCCGGCACTTTGTCGGGAATCATGTTGGCTTCAATCCCTCCAGGACCGTGGGTGAGAGGCTGAGTGCTGCAGTGACAGGAAACCTCCTTCAGATGAGCTCAGACCCGAGGTTAAACTGTGGATAAATAATAATAACAACATGTGATGGACCTGGTCTGAGCAGCTCCATAAACACACTGATCCTACACGGTACACGGAAACCACACTGAGCTCACGTTCATACATCCAGTCTCGCGCGAATAGCAAAACCTCGCTGCATTAGCGCTCAAGCTAGCAATGTCGAAATCCATTCAGACTTCCTTGTTTTAAAGAATTATGTTTTTCACTTTTCATCACCCCGTTAACGCTCAGCAGCTATAAATTAACCCAGGACGAACAGCTGAGACAGAACAGTAAACTCTGGACCGGTTCTGGTGCAGGTCCGGGACCTCAGAGCCAGCACATTGTGACAATTCTGCACAAACCTAAGAGTTGTTGGCTAAGCTAACATGCTCAACTAGCTCACACCGCAGTGTCGCGTGCAAAAATAACTTTTTGATTGACCTATATTTACTAAGTACATATCGACTAAGTACATATAAACGTGTTTTCATTTAGCACAATACTGTTTATACCTTCCGATAAACTGAAAACTTTAATAATGTTTGTGTCCTGTTGTTGACACTTGGCCGTTTCTTCTTCTTCTTCTTCTTCTTCTTCTTCTTCAGTGCTTGTTGTGAGGTGCTGCACCCTCAGTAAACAACATGTAATGTGCTTTACCGCCACCTGCTGGTGGTTTTTATAACTTTATTGAAATATGAATCAGAACAAGGACAAGCAAGTAAAGTAATGAGTGTATCAGGGATACAAAAGTAATACAGTAATTACATAACAACCATGTATTACATCACAATATAGCATACAGAATAAAATGAACTACTAAAGAAAAACTAGAAAACAAAAAATTAATAAAAAACTAATTCATTAAATAGGAAAAATATATATAAATACATTATTCAGAGGTTTCAGGGAAAAATAGATCATAATTAGAAATAAACATGTTACTCTTCTTATTATTAATTAATTTAAGGGATTTATTCAGCGACTTTAGCTCTGAAATAAAATGAGTTATATTAGGTACAGACTTTTCAAAGTTTTGCTTATGAATGAAATTTTTGCATATATAATAACAAAATTAAGCATGTGCTCAAAATGACTGTTTTCAGAGTTACTGTAATAGCAAATAATATCTTTGAGTTTTAATGAAAATACAATTTTAGTTTCTAGTATAAAGTGAGACTCTAAGTCGCTCCGAAATGTTTTAGTTATGTCACAGCTGAAAAACAAGTGTGAAGTTGTTTCTGGAACTTTTTTAMAGAAAGTGCAGGAGTCAGCAACATCTGAGAATTTAGCWATGATACAGTTCACAGGATATACTGTATGTTGTGTAAAATTTTAAAATGTACTTCTTTGGCTTTGTTWGACATACARTATTTGTAAGGTAAGAGCAGACCCTTCTCCAGTTTATGTCTTCAATTTGAGCTCTCCAATAAAATTTACCTCTAGGTCCAATGCTATTCTTACGGAGCCCACCGGGGGTCAGTGGTGAAAAAAGAAAAACACCCGCCGGAAATTCGTGCGCACGGATTGCTAAACTGAGGGCACAGATTAGTAATCCGTGCGCTGAGTTTAATAATCCGTGAGCACAGTTTAGTAATCCGTTCGCTCAGTTTAGTAATCCGTGCGCACAGTTTAGTAATCCGTGCGCTCTGTTTAATAATCCGTGAGCACAGTTTAGTAATCCGTTCGCTCAGTTTAGTAATCCGTGCGCACAGTTTAGTAATCCGTGCGCTCTGTTTAATAATCCGTGAGCACAGATTAGTAATCCGTGCTCTCAGTTTAGCAATCCGTGCGCACAGATTGCAAAAACTGAGCACAGATTAGTAATCCGTGCTCTCAGTTTAGTAATCCATGCGCACAGTTTAGTAATCCGTGCGCTCTGTTTAATAATCCGTGAGCACAGTTTAGTAATCCGTTC